TCGTGGATATTTAAATTAAGCAGTAACATTCAATTGAATTCAAAAGCCGATAACTTAATCTAAGACTACATATGCGATAGAATAAGAAATAAGCTGGCTCAAAATATTTTGCCGGCGCACAAATTTAAATCATTAGCTAGAAAGAATGCCCATATTACTTTTAAATAGAACTGGTGAAAATTTCTAACAGCAGACGTGGTTGCCAGAAGCTCTGTCTACTAAAATGTAAAACTCTCAGCTTAAATGCACTCAAAACTAATTTGCATTTTGTTGAGGAATACAGAAAGGAGAAGTTATAATAGAGACTGGTATCATAATAGCTGGTTAATTAATATCAAATACTTCACGACTGATCTGTTTGGAAAATTAAGTACGTGGGACTCAAACCATTTTTTTTTTTTGAAACCTTGTAGCTTCATGATTTTTCGAGCGGACAATGACGGAAAACGGTTTTTTGATGCAGGTGTTGCTCCCGGATGCCCTTAACTACATGATCTACTTACTGCTCAAAAAGGCGTTCGAAGCTCTTCCTCTGTACTGTAAATTACCACATAGATGACAATAAATTCATTAAATCATTTGTAACTATCAGCCTACAGTGGCTCCCTTTACATTTCGAACACTTATATTGTTGAAATTCATTTGCATAGATCTCATTCTAAATACAGCATCAAAAACTTCAAACTCTTTTCTAATATACTAGGTTTTCTCTATTTTATGTCATGCTTGTCAAAATATAAATATATTCAGACTATTTCCTGTAATTAAATAATTTGTTCGAAAAGTGTTAATCACATAATAATTCGGATACTCGAAAGTGTTGTTGAAATATTTTGGCATATGATGTTCCTTTCCATAATTTTTTGTTTTAAATGAAAATGCCACAAGAACTTGTCTGCACTTGGAAATTATAACTTGTTTAATAAATAAGGTTCCATATCTGAAGTGAAAAGACTAAGACACTACGAATTAACGATAACTTCTGTTAGAAATTAATTATTCATCATTCATAAAGACGGCAAAAGTATTAAAAATATCCGAAAAATCCTTGATGTAACGCGTTCAACTACCTTTGATCTACTGAAACGATGGAAATTGAATGGAATTATTAAAAATGCACTGAAGTCTAGACTGACTGACATTCCAAGCTAACACGAAGGAATCGGATATTTATTCTACGAAAAATCAAACAGTTAAATTTGTATTTTGAACCATTTAGGAGATTTAGAAGAAATTTGCAATAAAGTTTTGCAATAAAAGTTAAGAAGAATTTGCAATAAAAGCTTTAAGAAGAATCATTTGGCGCACGGATACTAAGAGAGGTCAGACAGAAGGAAAGCTTTCGTCAGTAAGAAAAAAATACGCCTGATATTCGCAAAATTTACGTAAGCAGAATTTTCTCATATTAGAACACGTGTTAAAATGTCATATTTGCATAAAAGTCAAAATTTAATACATTTAAATCCGTTAGACGAACTAATATGCGGCTAAATCCCAATTAAGAATTGAACTCGAAAAACCTATTGCCTAATGTTACGCATAGACATACAAGCATAATAGTTTGGAGATATTTCTATGCCTCTGTAATGAGCAATTTAATGTTTATCGAAAATTTATTGATTAGTATAAGTATTCTTAGTGGAAATATGAAAGCATGCATAAGAAAACTGAGAATGCAAAGTACATTCAAGTTCTACCAGGATTTTATGTTTAGGATAACAATCCTAACATAAGGCTCTAAATGTTCCCTTATGATTATTATACAACTGTCCTGGAATTATCAAAACTCTTTTATATTCTTAGTACTTAAATTTTATGGAGTATGTACGGAGTGAGTTGGAGAAAAATAAAGAACAACGATATGTCTTCGAAATCTCTAATGAAAGTAATTCTTACATGAAAAAAGGAGTTGAATCCATGCCAAAACACATGCAAAGAGTAATTTTAGTTAAAGGATATCCAGTGAAATATTGAATGGCCCGTTATTTTCACGTTTTAATTAATATAGATTGCTTATTCAAAGTGTCTTAATATTTATACAAGTTCATTTTCAGAACCTTTTGAATAACATATTTTTTATTGCCGAAAATATTTTAAATAATATTTTTTGAAACAAATGGGTAAAAGAGGAGTTATGCGTTTTTCTGTTAAAATAAAAATAAAGTGATTTCACTAGTATTTAGTAAATGGTACTTGCAAATAAATTTAAAAAAAATACATGTCTCCGAAAGCAAATGTGGAGCACTGTATAAATCATCTGTGTGCTTAAATTGAATTTTATTTTAATAATTAGTTGAAATACCTGTTCTACTCCCCGGTAGCGAGCATTTTTTAAAAGGACTCAAAGTCTTATTTTCAAGGTAAAAGGCAGATCCTAAACACAAAAATGACGATGCATAGTGACGTTTATCGTTGTTCAAGTGTGCCCAACCACCACCTCTTCCTTCTCAATCACCGCTTCCTCCTTTATTCCCCCATCTCTAGGATGGCCGATGACACTGTATACCTACCGCGTTATATTATAGTGTGCTATCCAAATTGAAGTACCTGGCACTGTTCGGAATGTACGCAGAGTAAAATGCTTTATTTAAGGGGTTATTTCGAAATCTCAAGTAGACTGTGATTTTCCTGTTATTTCGATTCAAGGTGAATTGAGGAAAATTTTACCAAACTCGAATAAAACTGTAAAACAATGTAGAAATAAACGGTTTTCGTAAGGAATAGTATTTTCATTATTATCGGTTATATCAAAAATCACCTTTTCGAAAAATTATCATCATGATTGGCCAACGTTTTCTCCGTAGTCGAAATATTCACGAAAAACGCCCTTAAAATGAGATAGCCTCCATAACGTTTCATTTATAGCTTCTGAACACTTTTGGAAGGTTCTGCTTTGTTCTAAAGAGTAAACGAACACGTCGTCATGTAATGGTTTTAGTTAAAAACTGATAGCGGGAACTCCACAACGGCGACGTGAACCTAAGACAGGTGATGGGATTTCAGAATTGAAACTGCATAGAAATATTAATATTTATTAAAAAATAATAAATTATTTGTTTAACAAGTGACGTGAGCGCAACGTTTTAATATAAACGCCTTGATCTGGGAGCTTGTGGGCTGGGTTTTCTAAATCTTATATAAACAGTAATTTTCCTTTTTTTTTTTTTTTTTTTTTTTTTTTTTTTTTGTCCTTTTATTTGAAGGCCAAGTGTGAAAAAATTTCACCAAAATCGAAATAAAATAGATTTGTATGAATTACACACGCGCAAATCAACAAACAGACACACTTCATTATACCTATATTGATGATTTTAATGAATCCAACTAGTGTAATTTCACAGGTCCAGTTAGTAGTTTATTGTAACTGTCATGAATTTACGTTTTTGCTTTAGTTTATTAATCAATAACAGAATGAATGTGGAAGAAAAGTTAAATAATTCACTCTTTGTTAAATGACAAAACACTATCGCATTAAAGATAAAAATATTTTACTTCGGGTAGTGGCAGCACATTTCTTTTAAATCGCTGAGTCTTTTTATTACCTTCGAAAGACAATATATTGCGTCTGGCGACAAACTTTTTTTTTTTTTTTTGTATCACGAGTTTTCTGATTTAATTATGAACTTTTTAGAGTGGCAATAGTGTGTAATCAGCAAGCTTTGCCAATTAAATACTGTCCTTAACGCGTTATATTAAAGATATTGTAAGGATTATGTTAATTTTATTAACAGTTAAATTTTGAGTTAAACTTCCTTTCCTATCGCTTCTTAATTTCAACTTACCACTTCCGGCCAGAACGTAGTTTTAGAATCACGTTTGAATGCTAATGAGGAAGCGCGGTATTTAACCGCGAAGTTCTACTGTCTCAGTGAGAGAGGTACCAGATATTCTGGCTAGCACGCGTCCGCATTTTTAGGCTACTCTCTCGTAAGCTATTATTACGCTCGGCCGTACTTTAGGCCCTTGATAATTTCGCAGTCAATTAGCGTTAAGGGGCCAGCTCTGTTAGAATTTGGATACCTTCGGCTATATCTTTTTAGTTAAGATTAGTTTATTTTATTTCTTAGTTGACGCCCGACACTCGGGCGTCAACTAAGAAAGCTAAGCGTAAAATTAAATTAATAAGCGTCAACTAAGCGTAAAATTTAAATTTTAACTTTATTATACAACTCGGAGCGTAACAGACGGAGTTTTGTTAAACTTTAATTAGAATAATAAAGGGTTATTTTACCCTTCTATATTGTTGTTTCCTCTCTAAATCAATAATCTATTTAAATATACTACATTGCCTTATGTCGTGACTAATGGGCTTGAAGATCATCTTCTGTTTAATTTAATTTTAATAAATTAAATATTTAATATAATTTTTAATAAATTTAATTTATAATACGCCCAAATAATAATTTATGTAAAAATAAAATACAAATACAGCATGTATTTAATAAAAGACGTTTTAAATACCGTGCATTACATGCTGCCTAGCACAGAACCTTTTATTTATTTATATTTTAAGAATGAATGAAAAAAATGTTATATTTTTCTTATCTACGACTTCCAGGAATACTGAACACTTTGACATAAACCTTGACTTCCGGAAACAATAGAAACATTACAGTGGCTTGTTGCCATGACGACCAGCTGGTTTGAGTTATTTTTGGGAAAAGAAAAAGTTAAAATTGTGGGCGAGAGAGAACATAATGATTTAAAAATTAACTAAACCTTACTACTTAGCATTACCATACGCCTCTCTTTCGCTGTTTAGCCATCGGGAATTCTCTGTAAGCTATTTGGATTAGTGGCCAACTTCGGATGTCCCGAAGTTTTCTTTAACAAAGTTAGTTCTAAAAGCACATTTTCAGCGCCACCTGCACGTTTTAATCACGACCACGTGAAACGGTTCATCAAAATCGATGAATCACGAATCCTACCACCCCCTAGGCTGCGCACGCGCAGGGTGGGCGTGAACTTTTTATCATCTGCCTGGATCACTGGAGCCTACCGAACATTGACATCGCAAGTATTCCTTACTGAAAGTTGTGTGTTTGAACATGGGATGTTTTTCTCTAATAATCGAGTGTTGTCACCGATACAAGTTCAGAGTATTGGAACAGCGTAAAGACACGCAAGGTGAGTAGTACGTTTCATTCTCTTGCAATGGCCAAGGATAAACAAACTTAGTTTATATCTATAGTACGGGTATTTTCTGATTTCTATGACACAGAGTTGAAATGCGATTATTATTTTTACATATATTAAGTTGAATATACTATTAAAACTGTCGGCCTTATTTAATAAATTAACACATTATTTAAGGTTTACTGAAATCGTTTGAGCTTGCTAAAAAAAATTAACTGGAATTCTGAAAATTTTAGATTATCTAGAAAAAGAGTTTATCGTTAAACATATATATTTTTATATATATGTATGTGTCTACGTGTGCGTAACAAAAAAGAAGTCTTAAACTTTGCTTTTTTTGTTTTTTGTTAAATAAAAATGGTATCTGTCGTTAAATGAAATTTTTGAGAAATGTCCGTATAATAACATAACTGAGTGTATAAATAAAGTCATAAATAACTTTTACATTACATTTTGTTTCAGTGTGCACCCAAGATTATAAATTCTGTTTAAAAATTAGAATAACAAATTAAATACTATGGCATACAATTTTATTATGAAAAAATATTTCTCAAACAAGTGAAAATTTTTAAATAAGACAAAAATTGTTGGCGTCTGTTACAGCCTGTAAATGAAATTTTTCAGTCGCATTATCTACCTCGCAGAAAAACATACGTAACAGTAAATTAATCGAAGAAAATAAGAGTAGATGCTTTTTGAAATCTCTCATTAATTTACATAACTTATAAACTTAACTGATTTATATAATTAATGTCGGAGTGATGTCTTTCTCTATAAACAGAAATAGGTTCCAAGTATCAGGTTTATTTCATTCAAATCTATGTCTGCCCAGGTCCGATCGCCTACGCACGTAAACGTCTTGTTAAAAACAGAAATACCGCTAGCCGCTTTCAAATAACGCCCATTCATGGATGATAAACTCAAAAACTATTGCACCTTCGGAATTTTGGAACTTTGGGATTATACTGGTTTTCAGCAAGCGATGTATTAGCCTGCTCTTTGCCAGTTCCTTGATGTATCCCATGTTGGGCCTGACGGTTGTGATTCTGTAGATATGAATTTTGTTACTCGATTTTATGTTTTATAGTGTTGACAAAAAATTCAAGATGAATTTAAATGGGCAGTTAGTTTTAATTTCTTTGCGGCTGGATTCCCACGTTAATAATCTAGTTTCGTAATTATTCAATAATATCAAAAACGATTCTTTTATTTTTCATTCCTAACTTAAAGTGATTTTAAATCTTAGATGTTTCATTAATTTTAGAACTAGTCTACATTCTAAAATAGATTTTCTACGCATGATAATATACATTAATCAACGCATAATACCTCAGTTACAATCAAAAGCCAAACACATTGCATAATAAAGCCTTAATTACAAATACAGCTGCTGTATTGTTAGCCCAAAAGGGCTATTAATTTCGTTTTGGCATTTTGCGTTGATTCACTATAAACAGCGAATCACTTTTTAAACTGTTGCCACCAAATATTAAAGCCCTGTATTATATTTAAAGAAATTAAATAATGAAGAATCTGCATAAAAGTATGTATGTTTCTCGCATTGTGATAAAACAACGGTACCTAGAATCATCAAATTTTGAAAAACGTACGTCTTCACCCGAATATGAGCATCTGGAAGCATAAATTTGGAATCTGTTTTATTATCTATTTCATATTTAATAAGCATTTATGAGTTTTTGAATAAGAAACACAACGATTTCAAAACGAGAAATGGCAACACTGTACGGAAAAGAAACATTTTTATCTCCAGCGCGCGAGACCGTGTATTGGAAATTCTAAAGATATAATAATTTTAAAATTACTTTGTGATATTGCTGTTGAATTGAATTTTATGGTTTAAGTGCGAAGAATATGATATTTAATAAATAAAGGTAACACACAAAACGTTTAAAAAAAACTTCTCTAAGTAATACAAAATCTGAACGCTTTCAGATTTTTTTACTTTAAAACAATTGGGATATTCTGCATATTTTAAAAATAATTACGTAATAAATTACTTTGAGATATATACTTATATACTGAATAAATACTAAACATAATATAAGTAAAATAACTACATTAGAGCATTGACTTCTATATATAACATAGTTAAATAATTATTTATAATTAATTACAAGAAGTTAAAATAAATAGAGGAATATAATCATGTACCGAATACAACAAGATCTTGTAGGCCTAAATAAAATTAAATATATATACTATATAAATGAAACTGGATTAATTCTCATGCATTTTTTATGAATCAAAGAAATTATTATCATTTAATGTGGGCAACTATTTCTTCCTTGCTTTGTTATATGTATTGCACTTACAACTCAAATCTCGAAATCTTTTCTGCACGCTTTAGTGTTGTCTTCCTGAATGCACAACGTACCTGGAAAGCCTTTAGAACTAAATTCATAAAAATTTGAGATAAGAAAAAAATAATTTATATTCTTTGTCTTCTACATATCTTCTTTCTGATGCTGTATGCATCTTGATAAAGATTTGTAGAATTACTGTCTTGCTCCTTAAAATTAAAGTCGTGGAACATTCTTAGGCCTCTTCGCTACGCTTTTTCGAATTTCTGATCTACTCTTAACCATGGGAAGTATTGAAAATATTGTCGTCGAAAAGAGCTAAACACCGCTATAACGCTTGGCTTAGTTTGTGCTGAAAAGAAGCAAGCTCGATTTATTTGCATCGAGAAACTTTAAGCCATTTTTTAAATCGAATAGAATGTATTTCATAAGAATACTAGATTTATTAATTTGAGCGTAATATAGAACGTTTGATGTGCAATAAAAAATTAATAATGCTTTTATAAAATTTTAAAACAATTTCGTAATATATTATGTAATTTATATTAGATTTGGTATACATTAATAATATTAGTTTATAAATATTTTGTATTAGTTTACAATGAATTCAGCAGAATCCATTGCAGATGCAATGCCAGTTCCAGATATCGGTCATATGCAGTAAGAGATTTCCACATGAAATATGCACAATGAAATCGCGCGGCGTCGGAGTCAAAAAACAGCGTTATTGGTGAAGGTCAGATTTAAATTCAGGTAAAAAAAAGTAGTCTATGGAACAAAAGTGACGCTTTTTATTGCCTTAGATTTCTTGCTGAAAGTTGCTATTATGCGAATAAATCCTTTTTGCTTCTCTGCTTAGTCACTAAAACCTCAACGGCGGCATAAAATAAGACAAATAATTACACACGAGTTTTCCCACGTAAACGGACTATATATTAAAGAAAGACAACTGAGCTGAGTAAATAACCATTGCTTCAAACTACCCAGATGTGTCAGTAAACACTGATAAACACTGCTCCAAGTTATTAAAATAGGTCAGCGATTATTGCAAATATAGCAGTTTGTATTTGTCTTATGTGATATACACAGCATTACCCATTAAAAAAACAATAGCAACAATAACAGGAATCTTATTACAGTTACTTTTAACTGAATACAAAAGCAAGATGTTCAGTACAAAAGAATCACTCAGCACATTCTGTGTCAGTGTGTCAATATTGTGTTTCATTTTTGGTGTGTGTTACTCAACTGGGCATGGGTCTTAATTTTTCCATGTGTCTCTTGGGATCACTTGGCCCACTTTCTGTAAGCTTCTTCATTACCTCTCTCCACACCGTAGCCACTTCTGGCAAGATGCCCGCAGTCTGATAAAGAATGACATTCCAGATTCCTGTTCTGTGATTTCCTTCTTTTTCCTTATGAATCGCAAATGAAAAGTTTCTTACCGCGAAACGAAATTTGAATTACAGGTTTGAGAAAAATATTATATAGCCTATTTCTATAGGCTATTTTTTAGTTGCTTTAACATATGCATTATTTTACAGTATTTTCTGCTCACATGTGATTGGTGTAACTGATTATGAAACGGTTACGGCAAAAACATCCAGTTAATTTTAGGTAAATCCAGCTCTTCAAGCGTATAAGTACCAGAACTGTACAAAAGTACTACCGTTACTTGAAAGTTAAGGAAAAACAATTTATGGGGTTAAAATAGTATTCTAAATACCAGATTTAAAATGTCAACGTTAGAAACATTCTTAACGAAGTGCTGAAAACTTCACCACGTTAAATTTATTTAGATTTCTCATCTACGAAGTTTGACAGACGCTACGTTTGCAAAAATAAAACATAAATTCTTAATTTAGTTTGCACGCGGGCTCGCAAGTAAAGATTATTCAGAATTATGCCGTTTTGACAAAGCATAGCATCGTTAATCCATGTCACAAATTTAATTCCCTTGAAATCGATCTATAAATAGAGTTACTTAAAAGCAATAAAACACTTCTGTAAGTTGTTTAATTACATCTGCAAATTGTTTAAATCTTTATATTATTTTTTAATAACATACCTATTTGGCATAATTTAAAATACCATTGATATAACATATGCCTGCGAGTCACATGCTCATTGATATCTCTTTAAATAGCCCCTGCAGATAAGCAGGAAGAAATTAACAATTTATTATAAGTAATAATAGCACACAGTAAAACAAATAGCTCAAGGGGAAAGCGGATATTAAGGAAATTCTGCTTAGTGCGCGAGAAATATCGTAAGTTTTCGATATCATTCGCATAGTGAACTCTAAAATACAATCCAATAAATTTATTATTGACTCATTCTAGTTCTAGGAACATGACTTTGCTAAAGCTTCTTGAAATTTTGGGAAACATGGCTTCTACATCTTCGAAAACTTGTTTTCCCCAGTCTTCCTAAAAGTCGCCAAGTTGGCTAGAAATACCAAAATGGTTTAATGTTGTTGAAAGATCTGCAGTTCTGTTTGAGAAATAAATATTTATATACGAAACATGTAGCAACAGGATACGTTACAAACAAAGTAAACCCTAAAACTTTTATTCTAAGAGCAATAAAAAATCAAAAACGAAGCAAAGCAACATATAATATTACAACAATACACAAAACAGCAATGGAATCAAAAGGATTTATATATAT